ACTTCAAATGTTAACAATAGCAAGACTTGAACCTTGGTTAGATTTTAACACCTATAACTTCACCACTAAGACACTCCAATTTGCTTGTTATAATTATATACATCTTTAGTTTTAAGTAAATTTTATCTTTTCTTAGTAGTGCTGAAATTAATTATTAACATTTATATACTAATAAATATTAAGATAAATTATATTGGTTATTTGAAAATTGATGTGTATATATATATATATTCACATTTTAGTTTTTTATTTTTGCTTTTTTCAATGGTTACTAATTATATTTTGATATGTCATATTTTAAATTAACATTAAAATATGTTTTTTACATTTAAATGACTTATTTACAATCATATAAAACTTGTAAGTATTATTACTAATATATTTTTTACAATTTATTTGAATTTTCTATCATATTTATGTGTATCTTGATTTTTCATCCGTATCTATGCATATTTAAAATGTATCCCGATATGTTTCTTAAAATTACGTTTTCGATACTTTAAACCTTACTACCTGAAAACTAATTTCGTCAAAGCAAATGTGGATGGTGGCTCTGTTAATTCAAGTGAGGCTTCTTTTAGTTGTGTGTTCAGAGACTCTATGGGAGTATGTTTGGTGGCCAAATTTGGTCCAGTGCAGGCTTCCTCATCGGTAACTGATGAAGCAAAGGCCTTTTTAGAAGCGGGGAAAAAGAAACAAACCATTTAAATATCCATTCGATCAAAGAAACAAACAAACCATTTAAATATCCTTTTTCATCCAAAGGATATGAAGATTCGAGATTAAAAGGAGAGCCTGTCAATCTTGTTCAGGATATGAATGTTAGAGTAGGAATGGCAACGGGTAGATTCAGGGCAGGATCATATTCCCCATTTCTGATCCAAATCTCTGTCAGGGATAAAAGTCGTCCTTTCATCCATCCTCAACAGGAACAGGTTCCTGTGGGGACGTGAATCCCCAAAATTTTTTAGTTCATAGCATTTTTTGAATAATAAATTTATTTAAAATAAATAACATTTTTAAAATATAAATAATATCATATGTTTAATAAACATATATTTAATATGAATAATTTGGGATTAAGGCAGGGACCTCATTCCCTATCCCCACCTTGACCCCGATTGATGAACTCTATTAATCCCCAACCCTACCCTGTCAAAGCAATTCCCATCCCCAATCTCATTGGGTGGAGGAAGTTGGGTACACGTCAGGAATGGAAAAAACTGTCATCCCCATGTTGGAGAATATTAGAAGGGAAATTTACAAATTGGTGCCTTGTACTTAGGCAGTTGGGATGCTAAAAGGGTGTCAGTTTTAAAGTGAGACAACCAAGTACCTTAAACTTACAAAAAAAAAAAAAATCAATTCTAAAGTCCAACCATGAGCATTTCATTAGTTGATTACAGCACATGATGTTATGAGTATTATGACTCCTCTACGCCTTAAAAGAGACCGAATCAGTAGGCACAATATAGTAATTACATCTAATGAGTACTTGATAAATATTCTGATAATTATCAAAAGTGGTTTTAATTTTTTTGAAAGGGTAGGATGGAGTATTTTAAGGTACAGGTGTCAAAATATTTTCTACTAGTTTATAAAATTGTGCTTACCTGATCCGAACAGGCCTTAAAACATTTCGCATTTCAAAAATCTCCAAACTACCCTTTACATAATTTATGAGATTTTACAAAGGCTATTTTTAATTCTACCGAAGTGACCTTTAAGAGTGTAAATAGATCGAATTCGAATTAAATCAAGCAATATCAGAATTTGAATCTAATCAGAAAATTTAATATCCAAATGTGATTCAATATTCAATGGATACCGAAAATTAACATTCAAATTTGATTAAATATTCAAATATTCAATTTGGTTCAAATTCAAGCAATTAACTATTTTAAGTAATTAATAAATATTTCAAATATTATACATAAGAATTAAATAATCAATCAAATTCAAATATTTATCAAATCAAATCAGGTCATATCTGAATTTAGTTGATTAGATGTTTAAATTATCGGAACTTGATTAGATTATATCAAATCTCAAATTCAAAATCGAATTTTCAAATACAGACGACAACCCTAGTGACCTTACATCAAAACTGATCATTAAAAAATTCACTTTCAGAACTACCTAAAAGAAATTTAAAAAGGGTAGTTTGCTAGTTGTACCGCTCACCATGATGTTGGTTGACAGTGCTGGATTTAAGTGTTGATTTTTGAAACCAGGCACTTGGTGGTCCCACTTAGGGGTCATAAATCCTAAAGTAACTTTCCCTTATTGCCTAGTCAATCCAACTCAACTCAGCGTTATTCCAAATTCCCAAGTCCATTACATTAGTTATCCCATCATCTTACTCTATCGAGTGAAATTTACTTCAAGTTTACAAAAAATGATATCTATTTTCTCTTTTTTTTTTGAAAGATGGGGATTGTTTTGGTGGGGCTGGGGGTAGGGACGAAAATAGGGACGAGGATTAATAGGAATCCCCGGTTGAGGTTGGGGTCAAACATGGGGATTGAGGTCCGATTGAATGAAAATTTATTAAATCTTTCAATTAACAATAATAATAATTTATCATGTGTTGATACTCAATATATCATTTTGATCATTTCTATCATCAAATTGAATATTGGGTTGGCGGAGATAGTATTTTCAAAACTAAATCAAACCAAATGATTAGAACAAAATAATTGGGAACCAGACACCGTTTCACCTCAAAACCGCTTTTTGTCCAAAAATTGTTTATTTGGTTAGTGAATTGCTGACCTGGGCAGTCGAACCATCAACCCAGATAACAATTTTTGTCCTTTTTTAGTTTTTCTAATATTTTTTGTTAGAGCAGGTCATCCGTTTGGACCGAACAATCGAACCATTCGACCCCAGAACGGTTCCCTATCCAATCCTATTTTAAAAACCTTGGATGGGGAGTGGGTGCCTTGCCTTGAGCTTTGCTTGGTGTACAGCATGGCTTGGCCCAAGGCACGACCCATGGACTAGTCCAACCCAAAGCACGACATGGAACCGTGCGGGTTCGGGCCGTGGGTCGTGTCAAACCAACCCCCCCAATTACCCTAGAGGAGGGAGGCATGGCCCGGGATGCCTTGTGGGCCAGCATGGCATGACTCGCACTTTGTGCAAGGCCAATGTGGGTCGTGTTGTAACGACCTAGCACAACCCAATTTACACCTCAACTCGAACCCACCCAATACTGGGGACGGGGCAAAGAAATTCAAGGATTCTCTATCCTTGATGAAGAGTGGGTGCCTTGCCCCTGAACTCACCCGACATTGAGGAGTGGTTACCTTGCCCTAAACCCGCACGACACTAGAGATGGGGCGGGGATGGGGTAGAGTGTCTTAACTATGGGGCATGGATGGGGTGCCCTATCCTGAACCCACCCCATTGTCATTCCTATATAATTGTTAATTATTAGTAGAATTAATAAAAATATTAATTTTTATAATTATTTTTATTTATTTATAGTAAATCAAAATTTCATTTAAAAATAATAAAAAGAACAAAAATTATTAAAATTACTATAAATTATTAATAAAACTAAATTTATTAAAAATTAAAATTATTAAATCTTTAATCTTTGAGATTTTCTCATGCATTGCACGAGTCCCTGAAGAAGGTTTATTTGCGGATAGATTTTACAAGTAGAGTATTAGGCTAAAGAAATGAACTTATGTATCAAGTGTTAAATTTAATAATATTTTGAACTTGAAGATAATTGATGGTTTGTATTTTTTACACATTTTAATCAAATAATTAAAATTTTTTATGTTTATAGGAAATTTAGAAGCAAGTTCTGTACCCAACCTCGCCACTTTGATATTTTTCCATTCCATACCGAATCTAGATTCAGTAGGGGGGTCAAGACCAATAAGCTAGAGGTTTTTAGATATGATGCTTAAAATTCTTTATGGCTTCTATGATTTTTCTGCATTTCAAAAAAAAAATATTAAATATGATACTTAAACTAACCCACAACCATTTCAATGTCTTTTTTTATCAGGAACCCGAACCTAATTACAATAGCCATTTTAATACCAAATTACCAATCCGTGCATCACCTGTATTACTTTTAGCAGAGTATAAAAAAAACTAATTGACAAGATTGGAAACGAGATCATCCATGCGACAAAGCAAGAGTTATAGCCACTAAACCATAATACAAGGTGCTAAATAGATTAGTTTAAATTTTTTTTAAACACCTTTGTTCTACTACTTTTTTCCAACCTTTTTTCAAGAATTTAGGTATTTCCCAATATTTCACACTTCACAAAAACTACCCGAAGATGTATTTCTTATGATGAGCTTATAACTTATTAATAAGGTTCAACATATCAACAAAACCATATTTGGATTTCAAAACATGTGTGCATTTAATAATTTGAACAAATAAGGGTCTATTCCTATTTGATCCAATTATCAGCTGAAATGGCTGAACTGAATGGCTTGCTTCTTTGCCACTTAAAGCATATTAACAGTTACCAGCTGATATGTCCCAAAGACTGTTTAGTGTTAACCTTAATTCGCCAATAACATGAGAAAAAGAGTTCTGAAGACAATGCTAAATATAACAGGTCTTGAACCTGAGTTCCACAATGAGGTTAAAGGTGTATTGTATAACAATTTGACAGAGGACATGGCACCTGATGGAATACAATAGAAGAACAAGATTCTTTTATATAGTGGGAATAAGGATTTGTTGAGTTGTGTAGGTGAGGTCACGCAATCTATGAAAAGTGCTCTAAGAGAACAAAGATGGGTTGCATGTTCAAACCCATTCTTACACTGACGTTCACAAATTATACATCAAGCATCTATAGTTCTTCCTAAAATGTGGATTCAAATAGACTGTATGTTGGAATATAAAATTCGCAAACTGTGGGTTAAGGCTTAAGAATAACTTTGTTATTGCAGTACCTAATTTACATACCATATGAGCAAATATAAATCTCATGAGGTAGACACCGCCCTCTAAATAGATAGTTCAAAGTTTAGCAGTCATTTCCAATCATCAGCCCTGTGAGAAAACATAATTTAGAGTAACAAAATAGAAGTACGCACGAACTAAATCAAGCAAAAAGGTGATAATAATACTAATCAGAGCACGCAAATCCCGAAAATATAAATCGCTAATCCTAAGACAAGCCTAAATTACTAAATTCATTAACAACATCATGAGGAAGCATTACTAGAAAAGTGAAGTTAAGCAATAATAAAATCACATTTCCAGCATCTTGAACAGGCAAATTGGGGGGGGGGGGGGGGGGCACGACTCTAAACTCTGAAGACAAAAACCGCCATGAGCCGAACTCAAGTTCTACTTGGATCGCTGCCTCATCTTTCGGCGCTTCCTCTTCAACCTCCTCATGCGCTTCTTCTTCCACTGTTAAATGAAACACGAGAAACGAATAAATAACATGAATCGATCACTATCTCGACCGAATAACAGATAATTTCTTTTTGGTAAGAAAAAACGAAAAAGCAAATATAGCACAGTTCATACCTTAGCTCTCATGGTAGGTGTCTGGAAACCCAATCAGTCCCTTCTTCAGATCTCAGAACCCTAGTCGGCCGAAAACAACTAGGAAGAAAGGAAGGGGTGCCTCGGGTTCTAAGATACTAGGGGGAGGTGCAATTATTTATACTATTGAACCCTAACTTTGTGTGGATGGTCGCCGGTTCGAATCTCCGAATCTGTTTTATTAGAGTTAACATCGGCGTCCCACAGGCGCGCCTCACTATCTGGTTCAGTTAAGACTTAAGAGAAGCTATAGTGCTAAACTCTGAAATCTAATTGGTTTCTCCTGCCAATAAAACAATTTCCAACACCCTATCAAGTATCAACTTGATCTGACACCGCACATCGCAATATCAAATTGGGCCCATCATAAAAGTGAGACGAGATCACATTTCCACCACACAGAGAGTCGCCCCATAGAACATCTCTGCCGTGTATTGAGAACATCTCCTGATGATGACATCACCAGGACGGAATTCTCATCAGAAGATGTTCTTAATACATGGCCGGGATGTGCTGTGGAGCGTTGTGGGGCAGAGATGTCAACTCGAGTGAGACCTGCGATGTATGAGATGTATGGTATCAAATGATGTCGATAGGGTGTTGAAACGTATCTTGTTTTTCTAACAATGGGCTCGTGGGCTAGCAATACTTTCACATCATCCTAAATTTGTCATGAGTGTGGCCCAATTGGCTTCCCCGCAAAAAGGGAAATTTGGGTGTACATTCATTCCTCGTTGCACTAATTCATCTTGGTTAAGAATCTTGTTTTTGAAGACTAGATATATGAATAAGACAATTTTCTATGGGCATTTTAAGCCGTGTTTGGTCAATTCTCATTTTTTTTCATTCTTATTTAAGATAAAATTATAAAATCAATAAGAATGGATAAAAATTGGTAGAATGAGAAAATATTGCTATGAACTAAATGTTTTTTCTTAACAAATGATTTATTTAAGGCTGACAAGTACCCTTTGTTGCTCACTTTCATTCTAAGAAAAATAAAAACTCTGTGTTGGCAATCATATACTACCGGCCTAGGTTTCCAAAATGGTTGGCATAGATGTTTATTGGCCAATGGCCAATGGTTAATGTCTGTTGGTGTAAGTTTTCAAAGAAGCTCGCTAGTAAACATCTATGACAACAATTTTGTACACATAAGTCAACGGCTTACGATTGTGGACATAGAGTTTCTTTAACAAATGAAAATGAGCAAGATGGGCATGATTGTTTTTCATGCGTCGAACAACTTAAATGTCTTCATCGAAAAATCTACAGCACAGCACCTTCAATACTCTTCACTAGCACACAACCATGGAAGCGGAGATATCTCCCTCTTCCCCTGTTGACTCCCATCGTCATTTTCACCTCCATCAAATAACCTGAGATATAGTGCCTTCATGGGGAAATCTACAGTGCCTCTGATTCTCCCCATTGGTGTGCACACTAACGGAAACAGAGATATATCCCTTCATTCCTTTGTCATGTCTTCTTCGTCATACCGCAGTTAAACAATGGGCATAGAAGTGTGAGCTGCTATAACTCGAAAAAAAATAGGTATTTTAAATGTCGGTCGCATAGGGTTTTTTTCGAATTCATTTAACATATTAGTTGGATTCGAATATATGTTCTATGTTGGGTTTTTTTTGTGGTGGATTGTGCATTTGGTCATCAATGAAATGTATTGGTTGTTTAACCAAGTGGTGTTCACTCAACATATATTGTTTATCTCTTTGATATTAAGCATTAGAGATGCATTTGTTTTCCCTATTGAATTCTTATTCATCTAATCTAATCCTTGATTGGTTGTTGAATGTTTTTTAAAATGTTTATGAATCTTTTCTTTAATCTAGAATTTGTTTAAATCTTCCATTGCTTTCCCTAGGATCGCATTGATTCCATATGCAATTTGAAAAAAGTAAATTGGTCTTATTTTTCAACCGAAAGAGAAATAAATAACCCACCAAAGCAGTAAGTTCAACCATTCAATATATACAACCAAATTAAAAGAATTATACTATACATTATATTATTTGGTTGTAATGTTGTATGGATTTATATTATCTATGTGCGTCAGGGCAATACTTTCAAACAATGGCATCTAGGGGAATTGGCACGAGGTGTTCCCAGAAACAGTTTAAGAAACTTACTGCAAGGTTGCTCTTGAGAGTAGAGCATATAGAAGCAATGGAAGCCACTCCATTCGGACACTTCCTGCATATTCCACATATCATACTTGATAAGACATTTATTCTTGAACTAGTTCAATGTTGGGATTCGGACAATTGCTTGTTCAATCTAGGTGGTGGTGAATTCATGCCTTTTTATGGAGCATGACAATTTACTCATATTGGGTCTGAGACTACATGGGCAGCCCGTGGATACAAAGATGGATATTATGAACTCAAACTTCATTATTCGCTTGTTTGATGGTAGTGTTTTTAACACAATTGTTGTAGACTTTGGTGGAGGAGAAGGTTTTGGATATAGTGCATAAGGAGTCACATGAAGCCATTGAAGATGTGGTGAAATTGCTTATTTTGCATCTTTCTAGTTCGGTATTGTTCCTTCAAGGTGTCCCTAGGGTGAACCCTATTTGGGTGGAATATGTTAATGACCTAATGCACATTTGGTATTATTCATGGGCACAATGTGTGTATCAATTCCTAATACATGCCCTTGATAGAGTTGCTAATGATGCCCGCCAGTCTGGTATCGATGGTTGAACACTATATTCGGACAATGTGTTTGGTTTTGTTGTTGCTTTCACGATGTGTGTTAGTCTCTCTCATATATATTTCAGTTTAATTTCTCATGTTATATGGCATGGAACAATTTTGTTTTTGTTGTTATTGAAAGAGTAAAATCTTTAATTCTCTTCACTTGTGGGCATGGTTGTATGAGCATTGTACAACGTTCAAGGCCACAGACCCACTGCCATGTTACGATTATTTAAATGGGGCAATATGGTTATTCCTTTGCCATGATAGAGGAATCGGATTAAGTGGAAAGGGGCTAGATAAACGTCAAATTTTGCATCGCCGTCCTTGTGTGTCTTGCCACGGGGTTGTAACAAAAGGGTCAAGTAACCCCCTTACCCTCTCAGTATCCTATCAGAAGCATTAAGGGTGAATTCATGCCATAGTAGAGGATTAAGTGGAAAGGGGAATTAGATCTACATAAAATTTTGCACCGTTAATCTAATTCTATTAGTGTAGTTCGTCACCATCTATGCATATCCCATCGTGGGTTCTGATGAATAAAATCAACTAAACCCCCTTGCCATCCCAATATCCTCTTAGAAACATTGGAAGTGAATCCATGTCATATAAATCAGATTAAGTAGAAAGGGGAGCTAGAGGTACGCCAAATTTTACACCGTTTAATATGATTTTGTGAGCATCATCCGCACGGGGCTATGACGAACGGGTCACGTAAACCCCACTTACCATCCTGATATCCACTTGGAAGCATTTGTGTTGAAATAATGTCAGTGGAATCAAATTAAATTGAAGGAAAAACTCGATGTACATCAAATTTTGCACAATAATATGATTTTGTAAGCATCGTCTATCACCATTCATGTGTATCCTATCACAGGGTTACCATTATGTTATATTTTTAGAAGCATTGTAGGTGAATTCATACCATATGAGAGGAATAAGTGGAAATGGGAACTAGATGTATGCCAATTTTTGCATCGGTAGTCTTATTTTGTAAGTATCTTTTGTTGTCGTTTGTGCGTGTCTCGCCACGGTGTTATAACAAACAAGTCAAGTAAACACCCCTTACCATCCCAATATCTTTTTGGAAGTATTGGAAGTGAATAAATGTCAAAGAAGAGGATTAATTTGAAGCAAGATGTATGTAAAGTTCTATATGGAAATCTGATTATGCGAACGTTGTTCGTCATCGTCCTTGCTTCCATTGTTGTGAATTGCGACGACCGGGTTTGGTAAAACCCACCTACCAGAGGAAATGATTAAGTGGAAGGGGAACTAGATTTATGTAAAATTTTAACTGAAAATATGATTTTGTGACTATTGTTCACTGCCCTATGTGCTTGAATCGACTTATGTTTCTACCTATATGGTGGAGTAAGTCTTGCATTGCCAATTTTAACCCCACTAAGGGGGTAAGGCGAAAGTTGAGGTCACTCACTCAAAGACAACTACATCGATTAACCTCATTATCATCCATAGGATCAAGGACAACAGCGAACACAAATGACATATTGCTATGTGCTGGGGCAAGATCATTGTTCACTAGTTATCCGTGTTACTGATCTAAAGGGCACCTCTTCCACTATCCCGACATTCAAAGGGTATGCATTTGCAGAAGCCCTTGCAATGTATGTCTTAGTCCTACAAAATTGACATTTTCCCAATCTCATCTTCTTACACAAAGCTGACTTTCACTTTTAATTATGGCATCAATTAATCCTCTTCTCTTGTTTACAAGATGCTAAATGGAAGATATGAATTAGAGGTACCCATAAAGGTGGCATCGTCAATAGAGAATGTATTATTACATATATTTGTTTTTTACAACAAGAAAAAAGGAATAAAACAAAATACATTACTCATATTTCTATCTAAAGCTTATTACAATGTTCAAAATTTAAGTTTAACAAAAAAAATGCATAAATACTACATGAATAATTGGTTATGCATAGATAATATATGCATTACGATTCACCTTCTAAAAAATATGACGATTTACTGGTGGCTTTTAAATGTATATGAAAATAGAAATAAAATGGCAAAGGAAATAACTATAAACCTAATTGTCTTCATCCTTTTCAATAATAGATATTGAGATGACACCATGAAACCCATCTGTTTGTGACACTAAGGGTTTGTTTGTTTCCTCTTAACTCTTACTTAAGAGGAATATTTTAACTTTAAGAGAAAAATTGTTGTTTGTTTCCTCTTATCTTTTATCTCTTAAAGTGTAATCATACAATTTTTTGTTTTCCAATGATACCCCCAAAAAGACAAACAAAAATTCTCATATATGGGGTCAAAATGGATATTTGATAATTTTTATAATTCAGAATTCAAAGTTCAAAACAACATTCTCTGTATTCAGAGTTCAGAGGAAAGAAAAGTTCACCAATATCAATATACCTATTAATATAATTATTGCACTTTCAGATGTCAGACTTCAGAGCAAACGAGTAGGCCCTAAGACACCACTCACTCTAGCTCAAGAATGTGGTAGCCAATATTCCCGCCAATGTTCATTGGATAAGTAATTTTATCTACAAAGCTATTGGAAATTGCCCAACAAAAAAATTGTAATGACCATTGATGTGTTCTTTTATCTAACTCGCGTTTCAATTGCCTATGAATTGGCAGATTCCCTTATTCACATTCAAAGAAAAAAATATCAATATGAATATTGAAGCTCTAAATATCTAAGCGATGTACAATATTAGGTGGCAATATTAGTTACATCAAGATTGTTAGGGTAGGAGTAAAAGATCCTATTGGGATTTTACGGTGTTTCGGACACACGAATAATACATTTCCTTTGGCACTTGAAATACTTCACTTTGTACTTTAATTGGTTGTGGGGGAGGGGATAATATACTCTTGGGTAAATTTCTTAAACTACCTTTATGGTTTAGCTAATTGACTAAGTGTATCCTTACTGTTTCTAACAATTGACTAAGTGTACCTTAACCATTAAACATGGATGGACGGAAAAGGTCAAGTACCCGTTTTACCCCTATGCAAAGTTATATTTTTGTCATTGATTTTAATTAACTCATAATCCCTCTCAGACACTCACCCCATCTGTCGAAAGAGAAGAGGGAGGAATGCCATCCACGACACGGCCATCGCCAACTACGGTGGTCGCTGCAAATACCAAACGGTGGAGGTCAATGAGTTTTTTTCACCAAAAATAGATCCACGCTTGTTATCTCGCTAATGCAAGTCGAGCTAAAGGACTTGGGGTCAGGTTCAGTTCCGCCATCATCATCTACATCGACCCCCTCCGACACTAGCACTTTCGTGGCAAGATCGGCAGTAGGTTGGAGATTATTTGAAGGAGTTGGGCTTGATTTTCATCACCAGCAGAAATGCCACAATGCCTTTGGCAAAAAGACAACTCTTCAAGCGATTCCTCTCGTATGCAAATCCTAGTGGGAAGTCGTTGCCAGACCCTATTGTTGGACTGACATTGACGTCGAGTAATTGTGTCGTCGATGTAACTGCTCCAATCTCATCAACTCTTATCTTACAGCGTAACTCTTTTTTTTCCCTCTATTTCATCTCTTGTTCAAAGGGGTTACCACCACCGTCACCGAGAGGAAGAAGAAAGAAAGAAAGAGAGATGGGATTTCAGAAGGGGGTTGTCGCCGCCATCGCCGTCACCCAGAGGAAGAAGAGAGAGAAAGAGAGATGGGAGTTCAGAGGGGGTTGTCGCCACCGCCGCTGTCATCATCGTCGTCACCTAGAAGAAGAAGAGAGAGAGAGATCGGACTTCAGAGGGAGTTGTTGCCGCTGTCGCCCTGTTCAGTTCGCTCATACCGCTTCAGTTGTCGCTACCGCCACCGTTGTCGCCCAGAGGAAGAAGAGAGAGAGATCGGACTTCAGAGGGAGTTGCCATCGTCGCCCCTGTTCAGTTTGCTCATACCCCTTCAGTTGCCTCCGCCGCCGCCCCTATTCGGTTCACTCGTTCTCTGCTTCTTCAACAGAGCACCCCACTTTTGAAGAAGAAAGAGGATAAGGGTGTGCTGGTTCACTTGTTCATTCTCTGCTTTAATTTTTTTTATTCTTTTTTGTTCTTGACTGTAAAAAGATCGACATATGCTTTACTATTTTTTTTGGGTTTTTTAGTTGATACGGTGTAGTTTTCTTCGGTGATCTGGTGTTGGTGGAGAATGTGGGAGGAAGATAGAGGGAAGAGAGAGAGGCCAGAGGAGGAAGGGTGTGCCCAGTCCAGAGGAAGGGGATAAGGGTAGAATTGGGTTTTAAAATATTTTAAATGTCATGTGGTGTCACATGTTTATGCGTTTTGATGGAAAATTAATGATAAGGGTAGAGTTAGTCAATTGTTAGAAGTAAGGGTAGCATTAGCCAATTTTCAAAATAAGGGTATACTTGATCAATTAGCTAAACCATAAGGGTAGTTTAAGAAATTTTTCCTATACTTTTGACTAATAACTCATAGTTTTAACATAAACAACATGTTAATTGACTATAATTTATACTATTAAAAATATTTCAATGCATAGTTTACTTTGGATCGGTATCATGCAGATAGCATATCTGAAATAAATACTTAAAATGCACGAGTCACCGTCCGTCGTATAACTCAAGCCGCATAACATTTGCACACCATGAATACATAAAAAGTACCCACAATGTTAATCAATCAACTATGCATTAAATATTATAAACAGAAATATACAAAATAAATTCACACTAATAAGCATTACCATTAACCATAGCAACCAAACTGTGCCTATATTATCATTTGTTATAACTTGGAATAAAAATAATATACATTCAATTATAGAGATGGTTTTTATTGTTGGACAAATTCTTATTATGTATAAGGCACATAAAGTTTCCAAACAATTAGTGGTTTTCATTAACTTCAATGTATAATTTGGCTTAAATTTGAAAATTCATGTGCTTAGGATCACATGGTCAATAGAAATTTCAGAATTCATTTATAATTTCATAATTCATTTGAGCCACCTAAATTTGTCATTGGAATTGCTATAGACATTTTTGCCTATTTGGCATTAGCTTCCCTGGACCAGAATTCAATAGAGAAAACATAGATAAACAATATGCATTGGGCAAACACTTTGGTTGATCAACAAATTCATTTCATTGATGATCGGATGCATAATCCACGCCAAAAATCAAATGTAGAACATATAATCGTATCCAATTGATATTTTAAATGAATTCAACATAAGCCTATGTGGCACAAAAATTTCAAATACCTTGACTTCGAGTTACAATATGTCATACTTCTACGCTCATTGTCTAACTGGGTCCGGCATAGAAGACAACGAAGGAAAGAAGGGATATATCTCTGCTTTCGTTAGTGTGCAACTGTGCACCAGTGAAGAAGACCAAATGCGTGAAAACGAAGATGACAATCAATGGGAGGAAGAAGGAGATGCCTCCGCTTTTGTCGATGTGCACTCCTGAAGAGAACTGAAGGCGCTACGACCACAATTGCATTCAAGCTGTTCGAAGGAGGTGAAAATGAAGAGGAAAGGAAAATTACCGCACACGTGTGAAATGGACATTTTGGAGATGAGGTGGCATTTCTTGATGTACATTTTAGGTATTCCTGAAAATATGAATGACGTGGGATTTATATAGGTGGCCAATGGTGTGAATTGAGTTTTAATCTCGTTCTAGGGTTTCAACGATAAATTTTTCTGCGGGGGCCTACTGCGTACATTTCCCTGATTTTAAGGTTTTAGCGACAATAGGAGGCGTACACGTCACCTATTTCAAACTCATCTTAACGTTAACGGGCTTTTGGGCGTTAGTCAAATGAATTCGGTTGAATCGGACAAAAAAGAAACAAAAAGGCAAAAAAATATTCCTTCATTTGAATTATTTGGGTTTTGGGAGTTCATTCGAACTTCTTCCCATGTTCTCCTCCGAGCCCTAACCTTGAAGCAAACCACAGGCGATATCACTGTACAGCCGATGCCCGTGAGCGTGAAGTACACCGGTAGTCATCAGTCTTCAGAACGAAGGTCCACCAGGGAAACGAGTACTATTGCTAATTAGACCCAGTCTTAGAGTTTTGTACTGCATTGGCTGGCTTACCATCATGATCTTGTGCAATAGAAATAGCCTCAAGCAAAGTTTCATTTATTTGGGGTTGCCTTCATGAATGCAATATCTGGGTAAACTCTATGAAAGATCATGGTTCATGTTTGTTACACTGAGTTATCATCTTTGCTATGGCTTTGTTGTGTGCTGGTGACAGCAACCACTTATTCCTTCATGATTTGATTCTCTTCTTCAATGTCTGCAGCCCAATACTTACCGGCCGGCGTGGATCACATAAATGAAATTATCTTTTCTATTGGCACTTTTGTGGCATCACTTCTTGGGTTACTGGTAGTGCAGAGGGCCATAGTGAAATATGGTAGGGCCTCCATTGTATTCTCAGTCTGTACAGTTATGGCTATAAGTATTGTTTTGATTACTAGCTTTGGAGCCTTTGGATTCCATGGAGTATAAATCCATTGTTTGATTTTGTTGGATTCCATGGAGTATTCTACTCTTGTTTTTATGCCCCTGTTCTTATTTTCTCAGTAAGTTATAACTATGTTAGCTCTATGAGGTTTCTTTGTATTTACACTACCATAATGAATTTGTGTGCAAGTTAAATGCCTACGATGCAACTTGTAACGCACTAATGCTTTAAAAATAATAATAATAATAATAATAATAATAATAATAATAGTAATAATAATAATAATAATACCCTTTATTATAAGATTTGGCTAATCACAAAACACATCAGCTCTGTACATATCGGGTATATCAGACTGCCAATATAATCGACCTCCTACGAAGATTCAAAATCATTTATGAGGCAGTTACCCATGTTCAAGAAAAAATGCCAATTGATAAAATACAACTGGAAACTTGATCCTGCACTTGCAGACATGGTGTAATGGAAAACCAGGGATTTGACCACGATACCCGAAAAACTTACATCCAAGCAACAGGTGTCAAAAATGTGAACCAATCAACTAGTATTCATTAAAATGAGAGCATTCAATTGATAAATAGTATTGAGTTTTGTCCGCAAATGATGAGGCAATGATCTAACATGACCAATGGCCAAGTGAAAATCGAGACCAATACAAGTATTCACTCATCCTGTCATATGCTGCACCAACAATGTCTGTAGGACCTGTGCAAAAAACGGTGCTACCAAGTTTTGAATGTTAACTGTTAACATTCAACTTGGGCTCAAATTTTACAGGTGGCCTATCTAGAAAACAAGCTTCCATCTGAGTAGTTCTATTTGCCTCTTGGCGTTCAGACAACACCACGCATGGGACAATAAAATTAACCCAAGGAACAGAATGACTGAAATGAGCAACAATAGCATATGCAGATTAAATATCTAATGAATAACATTGATGTGCCAAACACACAAACTAGAATCCAAAATAAATTACTTGGATCCGATTTTACAAATGAGCAAAAATACCGGGTTAACAAAATTACAAAATTCCGAATGTTTTAAACCCATCTAATCTGGTTATTTTTTATTTCCAACTAAAATGAAGTCAATAGGGAAATTTTCCAAAAAAAAAAAAAGATCAAAGACACTGAACATTTCTTCAGGCACATTAAGGCTAATAATCTATCACCAAGATCTTCCAGCTTAAGCAATCGGGGGACAGAGAACATGATCTTGTGAGGCACCAATTGCAGCAGGTGGCATGAATTGCCACATGGCAACTCTAGGGTACCCAATGAATGGCATCAACTTGTTTCCAGTAGCTTGGCCTTGTTTCCAGTACCTAGTATCTTGAAGAGGCCAGCAGACAGAACTCAACAATTAGAAAAGCAATGGTGTTAAACTTGGAGAATGTGGAGCAACATCTAATGGAACTTCCTCCAAAAGCTAAACTTCAGTAATGAAAATAGGTAAGGAAACAAAAAATATAGCTCATACTAACCTTCAACTCTTTGCACTTCTGTAAACAAACTAATGCATTGCTTGGTTTAATGTGCTAAAGCATACCTACCAAAGCTAAAGCAGCATTGATCTTCATGACAGGAAACTAGTACGTCTTGTGAAACCAGCAATTTCTAGTAAGGAGCTAGCTTGAATTTCATAATCAAGGGACCTGTATCTTATAGCAGTCACAATAGTTTCAGAAAATTATTTAAAAAAATCAAGCAACACGACACTAATGTAACTTCAAGTGTATCCACAGTGGGGGCCGGGGGAAGTAATGTTCGTGATGTACCATTTTGGATAGAAGCTTCTCATGGATGTCGGTTGGTGTTGGTCGCTGATGATTTGGTAACAGGGTAGGGTTCGAATGGTACGGTGGGGAGAGTACCTGTTCCCCTGGTGGACCTTCGTTCTGATGGTTGATGACCGCTCGCATCGGAATAATGAAAGAATACTTATCGCCGGTTGGTTTCTTGCCGCCGGTGTACTTCACACTCGTGAACGTCGGATGTACAATGAAATCGCCTGTGGTTTGCTTCTGAGTTAGGGCTAAGAGAAAATGGGAGGGAGTTCAAATGATCTCCCAAATCCCAAATAATTCAAAAGAATTTTTTGTATCCGGTTCAACCGAATTCAATTAACGCCCAAAAGCCCGTTAATGTTAAGATGAATTTGAAGTGGATGACTATTAGAGGATGCACGCTTTCCGTGAACCCAATGATCCACTGAATCCGGACTCGTTAACTTGGGTTATGGCCTTTTGAGAAGTTGACGGATTGTCGTCAATCGTCCCTTGCGACAATCACCTGCGCCCCACAAACGCCTTACATGCACACGCGTTGGGATTTGGGAACATCTCAATACATGGTTGTGATATGCTATGTGGCGTTTGTGAGGCGCCTGCTGTGGGGCGCAGATGTGAATTCCTCGTTTCGTTCGTTGAGTTCAGAGTTGTTTTCTGCTTCGTCCAATTTTTCAAGTCGCGAATTCACGATAATGCGTAGTTGATGAGACAAAAGCGGTGTGACAGGTTCCGAATATAGCCAACACCACCACCAGCACCTCTCTAGTTTTAACTCAACAGCCTCAACTACTATTCAACCTTCTGCTGCTGCTATCGTCTTTCTTTTTCTCGCGGTTTATTCTCAGTCTCTCAATCTTAATCTAACTGCATCCACAAAAACAAAGAGAGAGAGAGAGAACGATCGTATATATCTACATATAAATCTTTGAACAAACGCAACGAGTTCATATTATATTGATTCAATCCGGAATCGTGGAAGTAACTTCCAGAGATAAGGGTAAGAATGGGGGCCAGTGCCTCAAAGAACCCGGATAGCTCTCATGGCGGCGACCGAGAAGATAGCCTGGACCATCCAGGTGGACAACTGTACGTCTCCTTGAAAATGGAGAATTACAAACTCAAAGGCGACCTCATCCCTCACGTTTATGGCTCCGTCCCTCTCGTTGGCTCTTGGGATTGCTCTAAAGCGGTAACCACTCTCTCCACATTTCAACTGAACTCCAGCTTTCCTTGTTCTCGGTATATTCGTTTCTCTGTATTTCCATTTTACTTGTTTTCATTACTGTGCATGCACATGATCCAGCTTTCAATGGAGCGCGAATCAAAGTCGATGTGGGAATTAAGCTTTGTTGTTCCTTCGAATCACGGTACGTAATGGTGCTCGTATTCTGCACGGAGTTTTTTCTTTGGAATATTTTATTTTTAAGGTGTTTGGGCTTAGTGTTTTGTTTGACCTTCTGGTACGAATGTACGATTGTAGAAACTTTGGATTTCAAGTTCCTTTTGAAGCCAAAGCACGTTAATGTCCCCTGTATTGCTGAGGAGGGTCCCAACCGGCTCTTTACCAAGGGAACTTTGCAAGGGGATGCTAGGCTGGCTTTGTTTAGGCTTAATGGTGATGAAGTGCTTGAGTATCGTGTCTTCATCAAAGCTGATAGGCTCTCGCCGTTTGATCTTGCGGCTAGTTGGAGAGCTTATAAGGAGAACCTTCAGCCATCAACTGTTCGTGGAATCCCTGATATTAGTATCAATGCAACACCTGAAACAGGTGTTGAGGTATGAAGCATCTTCCCTTCATTCAGAATTACTTGTTTGAAGTCATTGCATCTGCAAAGCCACACCTGTGAAGAAAGTATGGAAGAAAAGTAGGGACACCTGAAAACATGTTTAATGAACTCATGCATGTAATTTATTTGTTATTTTTTGTCTACATTTGTTATCTTATTTTTATAATATGATATTGTTATATTGCTCATGCATCTACCAGAAGTAGAAGCTAAGTTGTTTTAGAATTTCCAATGAACTAATGCCCCAATTTTGTCAATAATTGATGATAGATCCACCTTAGACCATGGGCTCGTGCTTTAATGCCAAGTAAAGCTAAATTGAAATGACTTATTTTGCAATACTTCCAAATACCGACTTAATTGATAGAAGGATAGTCTTTCTTATATTTGTAATTTGTATGCACAATTCTAGTTGAACAAAATATTTTAAGAGAAGAAGATTAAATAAAAAATGAATTTCTTCACCCAAAAACAAGGCAAATTGCACAAATAAAAAGAGAAACAACCAACCACAAGTGCTTTGCACCTTATGAAACCTCTGTACAGGGTTCTGCATATCTCACTAGAGTTGCTGAAGAGACTTCCTGTTTTTGTAAATATTACTTGCTATTCCACTCAAAGAAAACTAGCAAATAACAGTGATTATTGTTCCTCTATTCTCAAAACTAACCATATGATGTATTTCATTGCCTCAACACAGACCCATCATAAAAAAAAAAATCACAGACCCATTATGGTTGAATTTATTTTGCAGTCCTGTTCAGTGTTTGTATCTATATGTATTTTTCCGTGCTGGATAAGATGTTCTTTGGAATCCGTAAAGAATATTTGTAGCAAGTCTTATCATCACTATCATCATCATCTCTTGTTCCTTCCAATATAGTTTCTTCAATGTGGCAGGGAAAGAGTTCTCTGTGTCTATCTATTCTGGATATTTCTTCATTATCATCCAATTGGTTGGGCTTTCTCTCCCCTATTCAGATAAAAAAGGACCATCATGCTTGTCGGCCCAAGATTTTACCACCACACCAAACAATGATCCCTTCTCTCCTCTATTTGGTTATCATGACAATTAGGCCTTTATGTTACTTTTGAAGATGGCTCCCCTAGAACTGATTAGGAAGGTACCTTCCAGATAGGTACCCTGTACTTTGGGGGTAGTGACAGATAGGTACCCTGGACTTTCAATTGCAACACTTGGGTCCATCTGTTAGTATTCCGTCAGTTAAACATTGCATAATGTCAAAAATACCCTTCTCGTGTATTGTTGAGATCATTCTATGGAGTAAAATCATCACTAGAGAATGCTGTCGTCGAAAAATTTGAATATGTTATTTGCTGTCCATGTGAGATGAAACATCATCATGGGGAGACATTCAGTTACCTTAGAATGATCTGAGAAATACATGAGAAGGGTATTTTTGGAATTATGCAATGTTTAACTAATGGAATACTAGTGGATGGACCTGAGTGTCTATTTTTGAAAGTTCAGGGTACTCAAGTGTTGCAATTAAAAGTTCAGGGTACCTATCTGTCACTACCCCCAAAGTAAAAGGTACCTATCTGTAATTTACCCTAAATTATTTTGGGAAATAATTGAATCAAAAAATAGTTGTCTGAGAATTCGTCCTCTCTAAAGGCACCATTCCATAAACTATATTTTTTCACTTTTTCGAAATGAAGATGAAGTACTTAGTGGGTATTTATGAATTCTTAGTTGTTTCTTATCAATCATAATTAACCCAGTCACCGCTATCTTTCATATATATATATATTTTCTTGCAGAATGGCTCTGCAACAAGTTTGGAGCTTGATCTAGAACATTATGTTATTCCAGCTCCAGTGACTTCTGCAAACTCAGGCATAGTATATGCAGCTAACATGACAGAGAATCCAAGGTCATTAACTTGTGGTGGGACCTTCTCCAACAGTGATGGCTCAAGCAGTGATCCACATTCAAACAAGGCTAGTATTGCCTTAGTCGATCAACCTACAACTAAAAAGGTTTATCCTGGTAGTCCTTCCTGCACATTTGTAGGCCATATTAGTGAAAAATGCAATGGGTTTTAGAAACTAATACTTTTGATCTTTTTATGGTACTTTATATGAGTCAATTTAGTTTGTTGATCAATATTTTGCTTCATACATCAAGGTCTAGTATGACTAGGAACCCTGGGTTTTTTCAAATTTTATTTTTCACATATTTTTTTTGTAATTTCTTTTGGAACTTATATTTTTATCTTCTTGTAGTACTCTTTTTTATTTTTTGTTGATTATCATGCATCATATATCAATTGATGTGATTAATTAGGTTTGTCATATAGGAAATGGAGGTCATAGTTCCAGATCCTTCAAAAGCTTATTCTACCTCTAGTATGGTTGAATCAAAGTCAGCCGGAACACTTTCACCCTCTCAGAAGCAGGATGGTTTAAGGGGACTCTTTGTGGATAGGGGTGTAGGATCTCCTAGGCTTGCTAAATCAACTTCTGCAACTACTTTGGCTACTGAAACCAAGGTTGGTGCACATCTGATGGGTGCCATAGGTTCTATTTTTTCTTCTTCCATTTAGTATTTCTTACATCCAATTGATAATTGTATTCTTATCAAAATCACTTTCGTTCCAATTGGTGGTTCTTATATTTTTTTTTTTTTTTGCCAAATTCGTAGAATGCCATGCCAGCAGCTGCTGGAGCTGTTGCTGCTGCAGCTATAGCAGATCAGATGCTTGGGCCAAAGGAGGATAGACATTTGGCAATAGTTCTGGTATTTTTCCATATTAATGGTTAGGCTTTGTTAAGTTTCTCAGTCCTTTGATGCTTTCTTTCTTTGTTATTTATCCTTTTTCTTTCTTTTGTTGAGTGAAGAAACTTGTTGAAACTGGAAAATGTAATGTTATTATCATTTAGCTGACAGATGCTTGGGCTAAAGAGAGTAGGTATTTAGCAATAAATCTGGTATTTGTATCTATGAATGGTTAACCATAGCAGCTTAATGCTTTCTCCCTATATCCTTTCTCCTTTTTTTTCTCTTGTTGAGTGAAAAGCCTAGCAAGAATGGAACATGTGATGTTAATGTTATGTCCCTTCCAGGCATGACAACTCTGTTTACTTCATGGGTAGGCACCTAAGTCCTGTAGGAATGACATGATCTAATTTAGCATATTTTATGAGCTACTGAGTCCTTGTTGAGGATAGATGATTCTGATAAATTGTTCACACTCCTAGGTTGGCTTGCCAGCTCGAGGCAAGACTTTTACTGCAGCTAAACTTACAAGATACCTCCGATGGTTGGGCCATGATACCAAACACTTCAATGTTGGGAAGGTGATTTATTTTATTTTTTAACATAGTTATGCTTCTTGCTCCTAGCATCAGTCATGACTGTAATAAGGTCTTGATATGACTTAATTCTTGGTTGTAACAGTATCGCCGTCTCAAGCATGGTGCAAATCAGGTATGTTTAAAATATATACTGTATTGTCACAAAATAGATGCATATTTACAACACTCTTAATTCATTTACTAGTATGGATGTTCCAATTGTGGTTGTTGGGAGTAGAATGAAGAAAACTGAAGAGAGGAGAGCTTGAGAGTTCGGCAATGAGGGTTTGAGAATGAGAGTTTCGAACCTACACTCTCTCAGCACCCTAACACTATTTTATTAAGATAGGTTTGAATAATTACAAGAAGGCCCTTAGTTGGGCAAGAATTTACAAAGAACTTAATATAGACAGGATGGGCCCAGAATAAGGCCCATTACAGAAAAACATAAATAACAAGAAAGAATAAATAGCCTGCCCATCTTCTCTACACTCCCCCTTAAGCTGAGCATAGATGTCAATCATGCCAAGCTTGCTGGTATCATGCTGAAGTTATGCCTTGGGAATGCCTTTGGTGAGAAAATTTGCCATCTGTCATTCAGATGTGATGAAAGGAAGACACACTTCACCCGAAGAGACCTTTTCCCTAATGAAGTGTCGATCAACTTCAATATGCTTGGTTCTATTATGTTGCATTGGGTTGTGAGCAATGTTGATGGCAGCCTGGTTATCACAGTACAACATCATTGGCTTGTCATATTCAACCCCAAGTTCTTCCATCAATGATTTTAGCCATAATAATTCAAAAACTCCATGTGCCAT